CAAGTAGCACGGGCTATGGTGAGCCCATAACTTACCTGGCACAGGAGCGGGGCAAGTAGCACGGGCTATGGTGAGTCCGTAGTGGACTTACCTGGCACAGGAGCGGGGCAAGTAGCACGGGCTATGGTGAGACCGTACTGGACTTACCTGGCACAGGAGCGCGGCAAGTAGCACGGGCTATGGTGAGCCCGTAACTTGGGGTCCCGTCTTCCTTCTCCGCCCTGCACTGTCTTTGGCCCTCCCTGGCATATGACCGCCCGTGAAGATATCCACCCTAACATATCCTCGTGTCTAGAAGATATCCTCTTGTCACGCACGCTCGTTCTCCCCGCCTGAAACGATAGCGGCTCTCACAATACCTCATCTAGCGTCTAGCTACTGCACCACCTTTCACAGAAACGTAAACCCCGGTCCCTCTCCCTCCCCGCAGCTTGGCGCTGTGGTTTGATCATTACTTATTGGCTAAACTGACACGTGACCTCGGTCTAGCTTTTTGTTTAGTCATTTATTATGCACCCGATACCCATCCCCTAGGGGGGGGGGGCTGGAAACGGTTACATACATACATACATACATACATACATACATACATACATACATACATACATACATACATACATACAATGTCAGTAGTCTTTTTATATCACAAGTATTTAAAAAAGTTACCCCACAACAGTTTCTGTGCAAAGTAGTTTACATTTATAAATGCAGTATAGCCAGCAGCCGTTTTCTAAATGTGGTATAGCAACTCGTTTTCTAAATGTGGTATAACATCCCGTTTTCTAAATGTGGTATAACATCCCGTTTTCTAAATGTGGTATAACATCCCGTTTTCTAAATGTGGTATAACAACCCATTTTCTAAATGTGGTATAACAGCTCGTTTAATAAATGCTGACTAATGACACATATTATCTAAATGCGGAATAACCAGCACCCGTTTTCTAAATGCAAGGATACCAGCACCCGTTTTCTAAATGTGGGGATACCAGCACCCGTTTTCTAAATGCAAGGATACCAGCACCCGTTTTCTAAATGCAAGGATACCAGCACCCGTTTTCTAAATGCAAGGATACCAGCACCCGTTTTCTAAATGCAAGGATACCAGTACCCGTTTTCTAAATGCAAGGATACCAGCACCCGTTTTCTAAATGTGGGGATACCAGCACCCGTTTTCTAAATGCAAGGATACCAGCACCCGTTTTCTAAATGCAAGGATACCAGCAACCGTTTTCTAAATGCAAGGATACCAGCACCCGTTTTCTAAATACAAGGATACCAGCACCCGTTTTCTAAATACAAGGATACCAGCACCCGTTTTCTAAATGCAAGGATACCAGCACCCGTTTTTCCAAAATGCGTCACTTCACTAACAGATCTCGCAGTACTTCGTTCTCGATTTAAAATCTGGGATATCTCTCTCTCTCTCTCTCTCTCTCTCTCTCTCTCTCTCTCTCTCTCTCTCTCTCTCTCTCTCTCTCTCTCTCTCTCTCTCTCTCTCTCTCTCTCTCTCTCTCTCTCTCTCTCTCTCTCTCTCTCTCTCTCTCTCTCTCTCTCTCTCTTTCTTTCTTTCTTTCTTTCTTTCTTTCTTTCTTTCTTTCTTTCTTTCTTTCTTTCTTTCTTTCTTTCTTTCTTTCTTTCTTTCTTTCTTTCTTTCTTTCTTTCTTTCTTTCTTTCTTTCTTTCTTTCTTTCTTTCTTTCTTTCTTTCTTTCTTTCTTTCTTTCTTTCTTTCTTTCTTTCTTTCTTTCTTTCTCTCTTTCTTTCTTTCTTTCTTTCTTTCTTTCTTTCTTTCTTTCTTTCTTTCTTTCTTTCTTTCTTTCTTTCTTTCTTTCTTTCTTTCTTTCTTTCTTTCTTTCTTTCTTTCTTTCTTTCTTTCTTTCTTTCTTTCTTTTTCTTTCTTTCTTTCTTTCTTTCTTTCTTTCTTTCTTTCTTTCTTTCTTTCTTTCTTTCTTTCTTTCTTTCTTTCTTTCTTTCTTTCTTTCTTTCTTTCTTTCTTTCTTTCTTTCTTTCTTTCTTTCTTTCTTTCTTTCTTCTATTTCCCCCCCCCCTCCCCCCCAGTTGAACATTCGTCACAGTTTTAAATATTTACCTAAACACTTCAGCAGCCTAACATGTAAACATCTTCAAAGTGTTCGCTAAAAGCCGGCAGTTTACTTAAAGTATTGGTTTCGACTCGCTGGGAAACTGGTCCATTTGTGCTAGATTCAGAATCAATGTTGTATATAGATTCAATGCTGACTGTATTCAGTGTAATGTAGTTTTATTGTAGCCTTCTTGTATTAATTTAAATTCAACTAAAATTATATTGTGTCCAAATGTTTTATAAAAATCAAATTACGAAATATATTAGAAAAATATTCCAAATTAGGATCCTCTATATAGTATATATACACTGTTTGCACCAGCTGCTGATGTAAATCATCACTATAGTCATTTTATCACTGTAATTGGCTCATCACTGTAACTATTTCACTGCTGTAACTTGTTCTTAACTTGCTGTAACTGTACATTAACTCATCGTAAATTATTCTGTATTTTTTTTAGATTAGATTAGATTTTTTATTCAGGTAAAGGTACATACATTGAAGATGAATTACAAACATAATATTTAAAGCTAGAGCTAGTACATACAATACCTAAAGCCACTAGTATCCATAGCGTTTCGGGGCAAGGTGTGGGGAAAAAACACTTAGACTAAAACTAATAGTAATTGAGCTTAAAGTACAAATTGTGTTAAAAAAAAATAAAAAAAAAGGGAGGGAACATGACAGAAAATAGCAATTATACAAGTTGGTCAACAAACAGCATTGTTTAAAATAGTAAGACAAGGGTTGACATTTAGGGGTGAGGTAGGTTACATGGAGTTTATTAGGTAGTATTTAGTTTTTATCTTAAACTGGCTGAGAGAGGTACAGCCTTTGACATGATTGGGAAGGTCATTCCACATTCTGGGTCCCTTGATTTGTAGAGCATTTCTAGTTTGATCAAGTCGTACTTTTGGAATATCAAGTTGGTATTTGTTTCTGGTGTGGTGCCCATGGGTTCTGTTACCATGGCTTGCTCACCTTTGTAAACAGCTGACCACTATAACATCATAGTCACTGAAACTAGCATACGATTAATGTGAATAAATGCCATGTTATAGAATGTGAAACAGGAGAACATAGACCCCACATAACCTATAAATTATGTCAGAAATCTTTAAAGAATTCTGATAAAGAAAGATATCTAGGGATGGTTCTAGATAGAAAACCACCACCTGAGGACCATAATAAGAACATTGTGCGAGGAGCCTATGCTATATTTCTAACACAGAATTGTTTTTAAATACATGGATGGTGAAATACTAAAGAAATTGTTCATGACTTGTAAGACCAAAGCTGGAATATGCAGTGGTTGTATGGTGCCCATATCTTAAGAAACACATAAACTGAAAAAGGCGCAAAGACATGCTACTAAGTGGCTCCCAGAACTGAAGGGCAAGAGCTACGAGGAGAGATTAGAGGCATTAAATATGCCAAAACTAGAAGATGGAAGAAAAAGAGGTGATACGTACTATTTTGTACACTACGTACAAAATAGTAATGGGAATCGATAAAATTTATAAGGAAGAATTCCTGAGACCTGGAATTTCAAGAACAAGAAGTCATAGATTTAAACTAACTAAACAAAGCTGCCGAAGAAAATATAAGAAAATTCACTTTCGCAAATAGAGTGGTAGACGGTTGGAACAAGTTTGGTGAGGTGGTGGTGGAGGCCAAAAGCGCCAGTAATTACAATGAGTTCTGGAAAGACGGGACACCACGCACGCAGCTCTCATCCTGTAAAAACACTTAGGTAATTACGATTGTAACTTAGCTAAACGAAGATTGGAGTCGAATTCCTGAACCCATTATGTGCGTCGGTAACACCACCACCGCTCATCGCCGGGTAGGGCCGATGTTAGGCTAGTGTAGACCTCTAGGCCTTCCGTTTTTTCTTTGGCCGAGATTGTTAGTCCTGGAGTGTGTTCAGGACTACCTTGAGGTGCTTCCGGGGCTTAGCATCCCCGCGGCCCGGTCATCGACCAGGCCTCCTGGTTGCTGGACTGATCAACCAGGCTGTTGGACGCAGCTGCTCGCAGCCTGACGTATGAGTCACAGCCTGGTGACTCATAGACTAAAGTACACTTGCTGGTTGGTCAGTAAACTACTGAGGTGGCCTTAATAATCCGTCCAATTGTCTGTTAGGGAAGAACCCAAAGAAACATGGGAGCAGTGTTCAAAGTGTTACTTTTCATGCAAGTAAGACATACGGGAAAAGAAAGATTGGAGAGAGTAGAGGATGAGGCGAACACCAACATTACTGAAGGTGAACATCAACATTACAGGATGTCTAGAGTAAATACACATTACAGGATAGGGATCAGGAGACAAACATCAACATTACAGGAGGTGAACACCAACATTTGAAACTAGAGGTAGAAATCATCGCTATATACAGACAAATGACGAGGTTAATGGCTGTTTCTGCGGTGCACGTGGCCACAATTATCCACAAAACAAATACTGAACCTTTTCCCAAGTTAACCGGGAAATATGCTCGAGTCCCAGTTTAATTGGTAAGACGGCGGAGGCGCTGTATTAATAGACAACTACATACATGGGCATTTACTGAGGCGTAACTGGTGATCGTTGATCCAGCCAAAATAGCCCTTAAATTACCTCTCGGCACGACACGTCATTGAAACTGCCTACGTTTTCGCTCTATATATATAGTTTTTTTCCCTGAATTCTTTCATTTCACCTTTTTTTCAGTTTTCTTGTCCATGTACCCATACATCCTTTTTTGTAGTTTTTTTTATCAGCTGTGAATATAAATAATTGGAGGACCTTTTATAAACCACCGGCTTCCTGTCCCCGCTGAGGCCGCTAGAGTTGTTTTGTTGTTTAAGATTCGTTACTTGGAACAAAAAGTTCCAAGTAGCACGGGCTATGGTGAGCCCGTTAAAAGCTAGAGACATGATAATGTCACACCGTGACATTATTATTAGTCACCCGAGGCGGCCTTCAGGTGCCTTAGGACACAGGTACAGTAAGCTACGCACCAAGCTCTCAGCTCCAGCAAACTTGAGGCTTTCCTCTTTAGTCATGTACTGAATTTACACTGTCTGCTGTTTCGGGGAGAACACTTCCGTGTATGGTAAGGACTCGGAAAAAAATACTAATATATTTTTCTGACAATATCAGTAAAGTTATACTTTGGACTAAAACTGAACGTGAATGACTCGAGTCACTAACATTCACTCTTTCTCGAACCATGAACTCTTGTGTGGAAAAAAAAACTGGTTCACTAATAGTAAAACCCGGACATTCTTACTTATTTACAAATTCCTCCCGGACACCCATCTAAGAACCCAAAATACGGACGCCTGGCAATTACTCTTCGCCCTAGCCTAGCAGGTGAAGTTTAGCTTGGGTGGGTGTCCCGAGGCCAGCTGGCTCACTCTTCCACACAACCTGTGTGTTCCTTCTGACCCGCGCCCACCACCCCGTCCTCATAAGCTTTCCCAACGGCTGTCATACTAACGCGGCCCGAAAAACTAAAAAATATTCGAATATGATAATTACCTGAAATGTTATACAAATCTCCCATTACTTGGCATCAGTGTCGTAAGAATTTCATCCCAATAAAGTATTTAAAAAAATGGATTTTATATGAATATTAACAAAAACAGTGCTGATAAGGAGAACAGCTCTATGAACTGGAATTGAGGGATACTGCAGTAATAAAGAGATGCAAGCAAGTAAGGTCCGACGCACAAAGAATAGTAGTAAAGAGGGTCCACAAAGTGGATATGAAGCGCCTTTCTAGCATTACTGAGTAATACATAATAGCATAAATAATGAGTAAGTATTTTATTATGCTGTATTTTGTTATATATCATATAAATACATTGCCCAATGCCAATCTCTGTTATTTCCACAAATTTTTGTTTTCGGGGAGGGGGAGGGGAATTTTTGGGGGGAATTGGGGAAAATTTGGGGGATTTTTTTTCTTCTTTGCTTTTAATCTGATTTTGTTGTAGCGTCTCCACCTTGGGGAATGTGTACTCGTCACTACGTATGTGTTTGACAGATTCTCACCATTATTACATATTATTTCCAACGTTCTTTGTTTTACAATCCTGAGTTTTTTTCATAAACGCAAAACTTTTGAATATATAAATTATTTTTGTCGAAATTTGTGCCCATAATAAAATGCCACATTAACGAATTTTTTTACAGTAAACTATACTGCCAAACTAAATTCTATAAAGTAAAAAGTAACGTTCATATGTTATTCTTCGACCATAATAACACCAAATGAACAATTTGTGAAATTTACTATTTTTAAAGCATATTTGAAAACCTTAGATTGTATAAATATTCAAATTAATTAGTGTAATTGTTTGTGTGTTCATGTTAGGATGTTAATATATTATGAAAAGATGGAGCATTACATGTAGATTAAGTAAAAAAAAAAAAAAAACTTTAAGAGAGTTTGAGGAAGTTTCAGAAAACCGTTTCCAATCCACTAAAGTGCCCTTATCCTAACCTACCAGAGGACCCAAAACAGGACAGTATGTCAATTTCGCGAGCCGCTACCATTTTCTGCTACGACAATTTCTAGCCTTAGGTAGAGTATACGTCAAAATGCGACGTTCTATCAGGAGGAAGGGTTGCTCCTACAGTCACTGAGCACAGAGTGAGCTTTCAGAGGCCCTCCACCGCCAGTGAGAACTCACAAGAAACAAATCTATCCGCACTTGATTGGCTGGCGCATTTATCTCTGATGTTTCATCTAATCTTAATATCCCACGTGTCCCCTGACTGTAACAGTCACGTGATATGACAGGGCAAGCTTCCAGAATGCCTGTGGGGGATACCATCTCAACTGTTACCAGAATGATGCATTGAAAGGAATAAAATAAGCTGTTGTATCCAGCCAGAATCCAGCCTCACGATCCAAGATGAGGGTTAGGCAAGTATATCCTTGAGGGAGAGGAGTCAGTGTAAATCAATGCTTACACTAAATGGAATTTTATACTTGCAAAATTTTCATGTCTCTTAATTAAAACCCCAAATGGCTTTCAACAAATTGAACAGGGAACTTCATTGCTCTTTAATTTCATTAAATATTCCTAGCCTAGTATAGCAAATATATGTACTATATTAGGCATCAGATAGCGTGTATTAGGCCAAAGGTTAGCCTAGGTTGTCTTTGCAACATAAATACAAAACCACCTAATTCCCGGGTATCTTTTTAACTGCTAGGTGGACAGAAGCATTAGGCGATAGGAAATGTGCCCATCCATTTCTCTCCGGTCCGCAAGTCGAACTCGGGATCCCCGATTGTGAGCCAAGAACGAAGCCAAGTGTATTATGAAACCTTATTATGTATTATACAAAAAGGTGTAAAATCTCAAAGTACCCACAGTGTGTACTGGGTCACACAGTACCCACAGTGAGAGTGTGGGGTCACACAGTACCCACAGTGAGAGTGTGGGGTCACACAGTACCCACAGTGAGAGTGTGGGGTCACACAGTACCCACAGTGAGAGTGTGGGGTCACACAGTACCCACAGTGAGAGTGTGGGGTCACACAGTACCCACAGTGAGTGTGGGGGGTCACACAGTACCCAGTGTGGGGTCACACAGTACCCAGTGTGGGGTCACACAGTACCCAGTGTGGGGTCACACAGTACCCACAGTGAGTGTGAGGGGTCACACAGTACCCACAGTGAGAGTGTGGGGTCACACAGTACCCACAGTGAGAGTGTGGGGTCACACAGTACCCACAGTGAGTGTGAGGGGTCACACAGTACCCACAGTGAGAGTGTGGGGTCACACAGTACCCACAGTGAGTGTGAGGGGTCACACAGTACCCACAGTGAGAGTGTGGGGTCACACAGTACCCACAGTGAGAGTGTGGGGTCACACAGTACCCACAGTGAGAGTGTGGGGTCACACAGTACCCACAGTGAGAGTGTGGGGTCACACAGTACCCACAGTGAGAGTGTGGGGTCACACAGTACCCACAGTGAGAGTGTGGGGTCACACAGTACCCAGTGTGGGGGGTCACACAGTACCCAGTGTGGGGTCACACAGTACCCAGTGTGGGGTCACACAGTACCCAGTGTGGGGTCACACAGTACCCAGTGTGGGGTCACACAGTACCCACAGTGAGTGTGAGGGGTCACACAGTACCCACAGTGAGAGTGTGGGGTCACACAGTACCCACAGTAAGTGTGGGGGGTCACACAGTACCCACAGTGAGTGTGTGGAGTCACACAGTACCCACAGTGAGTGTGGGGGTCACAACACGAGCACTGAGGCAGCAACAAAAGTGGGTAGAAGCCAGCAAGCGTTGAAACACATTTACCCCAAGTATGAATTTTTCTTGCTTTTGCCAACTTGCGACACTAAAAAAAATAATATATGAAGTAAACATATTGTGGGAGGTTTATAGCGCATCAAGGCTACGCCAGGCAGCCCGACCTCCTCAGGTTTCCCTACGTCAAGAAACTGTGGTACTAAAGTGCCCTTATCCTAACCTACCAGAGGACCCAAAACAGAAAACGGGACAGTATGTCAGTTTCACGATCCTTATATTGGCTGAATACACTCTTCACCACATTCATTCATTCATTCATCAGGACCAGACCATCTCAGTCTTGTGGTTTATTGACTTTCACGCTCCAGTCTTTACCATTCAATTTGAATTGGTTCCTGTTTTCTAACACTACACATTTGTGTCGGATTATTCATACTCTCAACTTAGTTTACACAAATGAATTAAAAAGACGTTTGTTGTGTCTGTAAATTTTTCGCCCAGTGAAGCCTATTTAAAGCACTCGTCGTCCGTTTTTCGCTCACATATTAACTCTGATTTATTATCTTGTTCATTATTTTGTACTGGAATTATGGTGCATCGTGATATATAATATAATTTATATTGATATTTTTACATGTATATGTTATGCAGTAGCCAGCGGAAACAGCCAGTCAGGATAACCATGCCTTATCGAAGATGCTGTCTCTGAGATAGCGATAGCAGGAGCTTGTCTTATCTCCAACACCCAAGAATCCAGGTTATCCCCCCCTTTTTCCCGTGGGTGTTGGGGTTAGTTTGGATGATGGGGGGGGGGGGGGAGGTGTGGCGTCAAGAATAGGGGGTTGCAACATTCTTCACATACACTTAAAATTAGAATACTGCCGACTTGGGGATGTCAGCCTATAGTGGGAAGATAGAGGAGACTATCGCGGTCTGACAGAGGTCTGTGGTCGACCACTCACCTAGCTGGTAAAGGCACGTGGTCCACCCTCACCTGACAGGTGTGTAAGGTCGTGATGAGATTTGGTGTGGAGAATGATGGGTATAGGGGAGGGGGGTGGTGGGTGTAGGGGAGGGGGTGATGGGTGTAGGGGAGGGGGTGGTGGGTGTAGGGGAGGAGTGTGGAAGGAGGTGATTACAAGTGGGAGATGAAGATAGCTGAAGGTTTGTGCTAGTGATTAGTAACTGGTTGGGTACTGGTGGTGGTAGAGGTGAATGTGGTATGTCATGGTGGTGGTAGAGGGAGATGTGGTGGTAGTAGTGAGTGTGGTACTGAAGGTAAGAACATATGAATAATCTGCAGAAGACCTGTTGGCCGATGGGACACAACTCCAAGTTATAACCAGCCACTCCCAGTTGTGAACATGTTCATGACTAAGTGTACTCACATAGTTGTGCTTGTGGGGGTTGAGCTTCGGCGCTCTGGTCGCGCCTCTCAACTGTCATTCAACTGGTGAATAGATTCCTGAGCGGCTGAACCTATTGGGCTCTCTCATATCTACATTTAAAACTGTATGGAGTCTGCCTCCACCACATCACGTCCAATGCATTCCATTTGTTAACTACTCTGACACTGAATAAGTTCTTTCTAACGTCCCTGTGGCTCATTTGGGTACTAAATTTCCACCTGTGCCCCCTTGTTTGCATACCACCCATGCTAAATAGTTTATCTTTATCTACCCTGTCTACCCTCTGAGAATGTTATAGGTGGTGATCATGTCTCCCCTAACTCTTCTGTTTTCCAGTCTCGTGAGATTTAGTTCCAGTCATCGCTCTTCGTAGCTCATATCCCTCAGCTTGGGGGTCTAGCCTGGTGGCATACCTCTGAACCTCTTGTAATTTTCGTTTTGTGTTTGACTAGATATGGGCTCCACGCTCGAGCCGCATATTCCAATATTGGTCTGACATATGAGGTATACAAGGTTCTGAATGATTTCTTACAGAAGTTTCTGAAGGCAGTTCTTGTGTTTGCCAGCCTTGCATATGCTGCTGATGTTATCCTTTTGGTGTGGGCTTCAGGAGACAGGTCTGGCATGATATCTGGTGTGAGTGTGGCTGCTTATATATATACACAGAAATCACAATTGCGTGATGCATCAAATGAACAAATCCACAAGGGCCGTGACGAGGATCATATAGCCATCATATATATATAGGTTGGCTATATGTACATGACTGGGAGTGGTTGGCTATATGTACATGACTGGGAGTGGTTGGTTATATGTACATGACTGGGAATAGTTGGTTATAAGTATGTGCCAGAAAGTAGTTTGTTACATGTAACCAACTACTCCCAGTAATGTACATTACCAACCACTCTTAGTCATTACCCCTGGCACTAGTCTTCATTCATTAATATGCCTACTCTCTCTACTCCTCTTATTCTCACTCCTCCTTCCCCTGCTGTCTTTAAAGTATGTACTGCCATAAATATTGGCTATGATACTAGAGAACCTTCCCTATTTGACTGTATGCAATCTAAAATTACTTTATCATCATAATAATGTTGAGCACCATTACAGTGGTGTGTTGGAGGCATCTGGTATCACTGTGCATGGTGATGCAGGATGCTGAGTGAAGTGGTGTGTATTGTGGTGGTGACCTGGCTCCTGCTGTGGTCTCTCACTCCCCCGACCCGCCTGCTTGGGGTCTACAGTCGCCCTGGCTGCTGGTTCTGGCCGAAGGTCCTCATCTTCTTCTTCTTCATTAAGCTGCGACGATGGGTGAGTGCCTTGTATTTATTTATGTTTGAATTTAGGCCTCGGGTAAGGTGCTAGAGTTTTCCCTCACATATTTATACTTTCTTAGCCCAAGATACATTATTCGTGGACACTAGTGAATTTACATTCTTATTGGCAAGAGTCAGAAGTGAGAAGTGAAATCTGTATTGAGGCCTTGCAAAATGATCAACACAATCACCACAAATGATCAGAAAACTGATCATAATTTTTAATATTAAAAAATGCAAGACCTTGCTTGCATGTAGGGCATAACAATACACACAACTGTCATATCTGCAACATGACCATGCAACAGACTAGGGCCTGGGAGTCCACCAGTTACTGGAAGCTTCTCAACAGGTATAGGACATGGGCAAAAAGTAAACTGAACCCTTGAAATAATACAACAAACCTTTTACTTCAAGAAAAGAAAGTGGTCATTCAGTTGTATAAAATCATTTGAGGGCCCTTGCCTGGACTAATATATCCAAGCATAGAGGCCTTGCCTTTAAAAAAAGATTAAGAACAGAGCGACAAAAATCGTCCCAAACCTCAACTTTCATAGCAGGGTAAGGGCCTGGGACCAATAACTACAAGCATGATGTGACTGTCTTGATCTCATCAAAACTTAAAATACTGTTTTAAATAAATAAAAATTGGAAGACTTTAATCTAGACCATTTCTTTAAAAGGTGCAATGTAACTCACATATGGGGGAATAGCGCACAAGCAGCATTGTAGGACAGACATCAGATGATAGTTTTTCATCCAGAGGGCAATAAGCTCATTGAATTGTGTACCTGATGAAGCCATAAACTTTACACATGCTCATCCAGAGCTCTAATCTTTACCACACATTTAAGGAATGGTTAATATAACTCTGAACATTATACACCATTTACAGTGTACTGTACAGTATCTTCAAGATTACCATAATTGATTAAATTACATATAAAGTATTCATAACAGAGGCCAATCATACATGATGAAGATGAAGACTATTAGTACACTTACTGTACTAATACAAGAGAGACAGGTGGAAGTGATGTGCTTATTTTGTGTTTACAGAAAGACAGTAGAAGCAGCAGCAAGGATGGCAGTGAGTTTGCAGGATATGGCGTCAAATCCCGACGCTCCCCAGAGATGATGGAATGTGTCCAGCAGCTCTCAGACCATCCCAAGGTAACACACACACACACAAAATCTCCCAGAACACTGAGAGGTAATACACATGTAAATATACTCTCAGATAACCCAAAGGTAATACTGTGCAGTACAACCTTGATTTAACAAACTGTATGGGACCAAACCCAATTCATTGTAGTGATGGATTGGTTGAATTATTGTGATCAATTAGATGTTGAATGATTATTAGGTAACTAGAAGGTAGCAATCAGTCAGGTATTCATTATGACATATCTTTTGTAATTTATTGTGTTTGATCACAGCTGTTGTAGTATGATATTAAGGTGTCATGTCACACAGGCTATCGACGCTGTGTACTTCAATGCTGCCAGTGAGAACGGCCACTACTTCGTTGCCGCCACAGCCAGGCGGCCTCGGGGGGTAATTAATGGTCTCCTCTATGTTAGGGTAAGTTGTTTCCTCCTATGTTGGCCCTGGGTCAATGGTCTCTCTCTGGCCCTGAAGTCAGTGTCATTCTGGCCCCGAGGTCAGTGTCACGCTGCCCCTGAGATCAGTGTCACACTGGCCTTGAGGTCAGTGTCATGCTGGCCTTGAGGTCAGCATCACACTGGCCCTGTGGTCAGTACCACACTGGCCCTGTGGTCAGTACCACACTGGCCCTGTGGTCAGCGTCACACTGGCCCTGTGGTCAGCGTCACACTGGCCCTGTGGTCAGCGTCACACTGGCCCTGTGGTCAGCGTCACACTGGCCCTGTGGTCAGTACCACACTGGCCCTGTGGTCAGTACCACACTGGCCCTGTGGTCAGTACCACACTGGCCCTGTGGTCAGCGTCACACTGGCCCTGAGGTCAGTGTCACGCTGACACTGAGACCACTGCAATTAAGTTATTTTAGCTTAAATACTAGTGCTGTGGGGCTGTGAGGAATATGCTGAAAAGATATATGTTATAGAGAGGTAGGTAGTGGAGTAGTGTGTCAATGAGTAGAGTAGTAAATAGACAATATGGACTCCTGTGAGGCAGTGACTGACAATAGTACCTACTGTAAAACAATAACAGTACAGTAGTACTCTGTGAGATGATGACTGACAGTAGTGCCTCCTGTACTACAGATTCCCAGCTTGGGACTCCTGCAGCTGCCTAAGATGCCCGACACTATGATGTTTGGGGACGAGGAACACTATGCAGCCGAGGGCTTGAAGATCACCCCACTCACACCAATGACCGCCTGGAGGATCCAGTACATAGGACCCTTGAAGTGAGTGATGGATGAGCATTGAAGAGAGTGATGAATGATCTATGAAGTGAGTAATGGATAACTTGTGCAGTGAGAGATGGATGATCCATTAGGGAAGTTATGGATGATCTTGCTAAGTTAAGTAAATGATGGATAATCTACTAAGTAAGGTAAGTACTGTACAGTAAGTGATGGATGATCCGTTAAGCGAGTGATGGATGATCCGTTAAGTGAGTGATTGGATAAGGACCTTGCTGCTCACACGAGATACACCCAACATGATAACCAACTAAATATATATACATCAATATCTGCCATTGCTTGAAGATTGTGCTCATTGCAAAAGACATAAAAAAACATTTGACACAGCATAGCAGAAAGCCATAAAATACAAAACCTACAATGACATTAACCTACCAGCAAGATAAAATATGACTTCCAGGACCAACTATGTGACTACTTTGACCTAATTACTGGTTGCCCCTTAGGGCTTAGTACTTTCACCAACACTATACACACTTTTCATCAATGATGTTCCTAACTACTGGTATATACAACAACTCACTGACCATTTGCTGTGCTGATGATGTTACATAACTAATCAGAGGCATTTTAATTCACACCCTCTTCCACAGAGCACAAGGCAAAATGTACAGTAATCTGGGAATATGGCTATCAAATTCAGATATATCAAAAGTCACATGCAGTACTTTGTCTAAAACAAGTGCCTTAATGAAATCCTAGTCAAACTATACTCATGAAGTACAATGTACCAGTGCTAAATATCTGTGGTTTTAAAGATTTTTGGGATGGATAAATACTTAAAATCACAATACGCCACAATAACTACATTACATTCCTTGACAGCATGCTAAGCAGATCCACAAACACTCACACTGCTTGATCTCTCAAGCAGTGTATATCTCCATGTATATCTAACACAGCCCATCTTCCTGTTTTGGTAGTACAAGTACTTCTAGGAAGAATGAGGACCATAGTTCATATACCGACGTACAATGCAATTAGAAAGTAGAAATTAGTAATATTGAATTTAGACAAACAGGAAAATTATTTTCTTATGTTGCAAAGACAAACTAAACTAACCTAACCTAACCTTCTTAGGCCTAATACACACTATCTGAGGCCTAATATAGTTCATATATATGCTAAACATCTCAAGAAGATATACTAGGCCTAGGAATATTAAAGTTTGTTTCTGTTGGGGAGCCCCTTTGGCTCCCTGGAGCTATCAGGCTAATATGCAATTCATTAGACCAGGGCATTAGTCATAGGAGTTCAGCCTACCGGAGACCACAAGCCAGAACATGGCCCCCTCAGAGAGGCACAGGGAGCAATGACCCTGGAAAGCCCCTCTGTGGTTGGGGTTTTCCTTATCTGCCATCGACCAGGATTAGGCACTCAGAAAGGTAGGCATAACAAAACAGACCCCACATGGTAAGAAAATTGCAACCCAAACTGAACAGGGTCTTTTCTTCTAGTCTCTTTCTATCTTACCTTCGCACTCCCTCAACCACCTGAGTAATCTTTACTATGTATCATCATGAAGGTGGAGCACAACAGGGCTAAGTTGGAGGTTCTTTGGTGAGGAGGAGGAGCCATTCGGGTACTAATTGACTCAGGGTAGAAATAATGGAGCTAATGTGGAGGCTGCTTAGCATTCTGGGGAAGGGAAACAATGTAGCATGGTTCACAGCTGACTGGTTCATGTTTTTTCAATAAAGCTATGCCTTTGAATAATTAACTTATGGGGAAAATGGAGGGAGGTGGGGATTGTAAATAAGCCAAGAATGTTCATTCAAGCATTGACCTTATTTTTTACTTTGTTGCTGGCAATACTACTGATCTTGCTATTGACCTTGTGGTTGGCGCTGTCTGGCACCAGGATGCGAGGGGAGCCACTATCGAGGCAGCAGGTGGAGTTAGATGTGCAGTGGACCAGCAGCCGCCCCTTCTTCGATTTCGACACCGACATGGATGCCTGGGCCCTCGCCAGAACCATTGCCCGAGAGCCCTGGTCCAGGGAGTACTTCGAGGCCCTCAAAAAGTGAGTACAAACATTTCAAGAATACTGTACAAAACCACTGAGATTCTTGTGAATACCAATACTGCCAAACCCTAAAATAACAAACATTAATGCAGCTAGAGTGGGTGTTAGAAGATCATTAGTGAGTATTAGAAAATTTAAAATGAATGTTTTGTTCGCTCTTTGCTGGGGCTTTTAGATTATTAAAATGCTCAAAGTATATAAAGTGAGTACTGTGAATCTTAGAGCAGTTATTAGGAGTACATAAGTGCCCAATGAGTACTAAGGCATTTAAAGTGATTACTAGGGCACACACAGTATAAGAATGTTCAGATGACAAGGACACATACAGTATAAGAATGTTCAGATGATGATGACACACACAGTATGTGTTTCTCATGCATCTCTGAGGGGGCCAGGTTCTGGCGCTGGTCCCCGGTAGGTTTAGAACTCCATCGATTGATTGTTGACAGAAAATGGCATTTCATTACATTCAACGCTGTTTTTTTTTTTATCAGGAAGATGCTGTGTAACAAATCTACTGAGTTTCTATGATAAAACCACAGAGATTTTACAGGAAAGAAATGGCTGAGTTGACTGCATTTATCTGGACCTAAAAAAAAAAGGCTTTTGGCAGAGTCCCATATAAGAGGTTGTCTTGTAAACTGGTGCATACATACTGGAGAAGTGACAGGGAGACTTCTGACACAGATGAAATATTTTCAGACAGAAAAATTAATGCAGTAATCAGAGTCTATGTATCAGACTTGTACCAATGGAGTACTCATGCTCCTCTCGTCTTGTTGATAGTGTCAGATTTTGACCCTGAATCCTGGTAAGCAATAGTAGCTTGTAGAGGCCTGGTTCTTCTCCCTGTGACTTTGCTGGATGACTGCTTAGCTTAAGGAGCTACCAAAGACCCCACCAGAAAGCCTCTAACTTAGAAACAGAGTAATGAGTGTTTACATTCCATTGAAACCATTACAACTTATAACAAACTTTTTCACACATTATTTTATTCAGAATGCCAATCCATACATCAACACATACAAAAAATGGTTCAAAGTATGTACAGTGTGTTCATATATTGTCACTGTGTTGTCAGCACTCACCAAACTCACTACGAGCAGATGGGCAGACTGGAGGGGACAGTAGTGGTGGACGGCCATCCCTATGTCCTCAGGCTTGACTCTATGAGAGATCACAGTTATGGTAAGTAGAGGAAGTGTATATTAAATATGCAAAATTTGGAATTGTTTGTGATTTTGAATTGATGTACTGCTTCCTGATTAGCTGCTAATTTGCTGACTGTGGCATTTAAATCCATGACTGCTCTCATTATTTGACTGATTCTTCAGTTTCATTGACAATATCTTTAAACATGCCATATGTTTCTTCACTAATGTCTGGCTATTTATCATATTTGACTGATACTTTACACTAACTGTCTTCATCTCATTCAGGTCACAAACGTGAGTGGAAGTTGATACACCGGTACGGCATGCACACGTTCACCACAGAGGATGGCCTGCAGGGTAATGTGGGCATCGTCTGCCAGCTGGCGACCTGCACACAGTTAGTACAGTACCTTAAACATGATCATGGATTACAGATTAGTTTTAAGTGCTTTGTGTAATACATATCTGATGTTTGTACAGTGGAAATGGGAGTAACATTGAGAGGTTTTGGACTATTTGAAATTTGCTTGTATGAATATATATATTGTGGGGGGATGGTAAGATGCATGTGTGCATGCTCACATATCATTTATTTATATTGAATTTTAGTTTGGCAGAAAGAATTCTGCTCTTTCCAATACAAACTTTTAAGGTTGGTGAGTATACATCATGTACTGCCTTGCAAAGGTGTTCTCTGTTTCCTTATGCCTGGCCAGACTGGAGCTAGGTTACGTGTACGTGGATGGGAAGGTGGTGTCGGTGTCATCCGTGGACCTCTCACTCTGGCAACATGGTGAAAATGGTCACCCACCCACTGACTATGCTTTCTGCTTTGTTGCAGGTCATTATACGTTTATTTATTTTAAACATTAATTTAAGCTGTATTGATTAAGCTTTTACCTTTCACCTTGGAATATTATTTTTCATCAACAGTAGAGTATATGATGTCATTAAAAAAAATTAATTTCCTCCCTTCAGCACATTGAATGTCAACTTTTTAGACAATCAGAAACAGAAACCTTTTAGACAGAAACCACTTACTATTTTGATGATAACTGCCTTCCTACATTATCCATCTCTTGCTCCACCCTGTGCTGCTTTGACCATAGATCCAGCTCTGAAAAGATATTCATCTTTGCGTGAACAAAGATGAATGTTAAACGATTCTTCGCGGCAGGGGATCGTATTCCAGGGACCATAGGATTAAGGACTTGCCCGAAACGCTACGCGTACTAGTGGCTGTACAAGAATGTAACAACTCTTGTAGATATCTCAAAAAAAACAAAAAAACAAATGCACCAAATGTGGACCAGTATTGTACTACACCTGTAAAATACTTTTGTCCTCATCAGTACTAACTTACACTCCCTAAATGATTCAGGAAACAATGAGCTAGAGATAAAAGGGCACTAATGATTGACAAGTGAACAAATCCACAAGGGCCGTGACGAGGATTCGAACCTGCGTCCGAGAGCATCCCAGACGCTCATTTTGTTCATTTGATGCATCACACAATTGTAATTTCTGTGTGTAATGAAGTGTGTGATTGACAAGTGTACCATTAAAATCACATTTAACATAGAAAAGACCTATTTTCTAATTTGAAGTACATCAGCTAACTAAGCAGGCATAATATAGAATACAGCAGTTCAATCCCAGGCAGGACAGAAATGACTGGGTTTGCTTCCATTCACGTAATGCATCTGTTCACCTAGCTTTAGCAAGTTGTCCATATAAACTAATTTTAACGATCCACTGCATGTGTTTTATTTTTTTTTTTGAGGGGAGCCCTGTCGGCTCCCTGGAGCTACTGATCTGTTATTACTTATATTAGATTGGGGCTTCAGTCATATGGAGTTCTATGCCTACCAGGAACCACGAGCCAAAACCCAGTTCTCTCAGAGAGGCAAAGAGAGCAATGGCCTATGAAAACTCCACTCTTTGAGAGTATATTCATGTCTGCCATCGACCAGGGTTAGGCACCCAGATAGGTAGTCACCCCAAAACAGACCCCAACTGGTAGAAAAGTGTAACCCAAGATTGAACCAAGCCCAAGAACTTCCCCCAAGAAAAATAAGGTAACGAGCATATCGTCATCAACCCAATACCTGACTCAGCAAATTTACCGATTTGCTGAATAGCCAGTGTGGAGAGTCTGGAGCTCCCCTCTCACCCTCTCCCTCCCCCTTCCCCCTCCCGGGGAAGGGAGGGGGAAGGGGCTCCCCTTCACCCTCCCCCTCCCGGGGAGGGGAAGGCTGCACGGACAAGCGATGCGGCGACAGTGATGTGACGTTTGCTTGTTTGCTTGTTTCCTTGAAAGTTTGGGGAGTTCTGCCTCCTTGTATGGTTTTCGGTTGCAATTTTCTTATCAAGTGGAGCTTGTTTTGTTATGCCTACCTTTCTTGGTGCCTAACCCTGGTTGATGGTAGACAAGGAATACCCCCAACCACAGGGGGGGGGGGGGTCCAAAGCCATTGCTTCCTTGCCTCTCTGAGGGGGGCCAGGTTCTGGCTCATGGTCCTCGGTAGGCTAAACTCCATTGACTAATGCCCAACACTAATATATCACATATCAGTCTGATAGTGCTAGGGAGCCTCTGGGGCTCACCCAGAAAATTGCGTTTCATTACATTCAGCACTGGGGTTTTTACAAATAAAAGTTACAATTTAAATTAAAGTCCACATCTTAGGCTAATTTTCACATCAAATTTGGATATTAATTAATGTTATTTTATCTATACAGGCAATAAAGAGTACTTGGTGCAGGTGTCAGTGGTGGAGGCTCCCGAGTTTTACATTGGATGGGAATGGGAGGCGAGGATAGTTGAGCGGATGGTCACTTACAGGTATGTGGAGAAATCAGTGTTGCGACAGTTCACCATAGGAGTTGTGTACTCATCCAGTTGTGCTTCCGGGGGTTGAGCTTTGGTTCTTTGGTCCCGCCTCTCAACTGTCAATCAACTGGTGTATAGAATCCTGAGCCTACTGGGCTCTTATCATATCTACATTTAAAACTGTGTATGGAGTCAGCCTCCACCACATCACTGCTTAATGCATTCCATTTGTTAACTACTGTGACACTGAAAAAATTCTTTCTAATGTCTCTGTGGTTCATTTGGGTACTAAGTTTCCACCCGTGTTCCCTTGTTCGTGTTCCACCCGTGCTAAAGAGTTTGTCGTTGTCCACCCTGTTAATTTCCCTGAGAATTTTGTAGGTGGTTATCATGTTTCCCCTTTTTCTTCTGTTTTCCAGGGACGTGAGGTTCAGCTCCCTTAGCCTTTCCTCATAGCTCATACCTCTCAGTTCCAGGACGTGTTCCCATCTTCTTGCCCTTTATTTAAATTCTCCTACCCTTAAGTTCTCTTGAATGCTCTTCACCACTGTCATCAACAAGACCGTCCTAGAAATATGGTGGCCTGAAGTGGTTTCTGTATCATCTAATAACACATCAGTATCCATGGTATTGTACCCGATACATCAAGACAGTGGTATACAATTAACTATAATGCTGCCACACAAGTCCATGATGATGAACCTTCCTCTGACATGTATTTTGTTAACAGCTAAAACATGGGAACCTTACTTTTCAGAACAGTAATTCATAAAAGATATCTATAGCTATTAAAACAAAATTAGTAATCTGTAATAACGAATACTGAAATAGAAAATTCTTCAAATTCATAGACTAAAAGTAAAAAAGAAATATGAATATACATCATGTAATAATTAACATTTGAACAATGCACTTTTGAATTTTTGAAGATAAAACTTTTAAATAATTGTATATATCCCTCTTAAAATGCATTCTGTTCCATGGAAAAAAAAAAGTTACCAAGCTGGGAAGAATTGCTACATAGCCTTTTTGTTTTGGCATCTTGTTTTCATACTACTTAATCCATGTAAGAGATTTACCAGATTTTATTAAGAGCACAAAAGTGTAGTTTTGGTTGCAAAATATAACCTCCATCGTTAAAGATGCTTGCATTTAAGAGCTCGGTTGTATTTTCCTCAGGATAAATGGAAGGAAAGGTTGGGGAATAGCAGAATGGGACTACAGGCATCATGGAGGTCGCCCTCACATCTACAGCAGTCATGATCCAGCGTGGACTGCCGACCTTATCAAAGGTTAATTAATGTTTTGTGGTGATACCTTCAAATCCTCTAAATTAACTGTAGACTGCCACTGTAGAATTGTCAAATGAGATTGTAGCATTACTACAACTAACATTAGCTACTGTATTAAATATGTAAAAGCAGTATGTGAATATAGGGCCAGTCTGTGGCCACAATGCTGTACAGTACAGTATGTTAAAAAATTAGCATGGAGTGTATGTATACTGTACTACCTTATACTGTATGTCCATAATAAAATACTAATTTTTGCATGTACCATATCAAAGTTGTTAGCATGGTTAATCTAACATCAAAAGGTTTAACTTTGTGTGGGGGTAAGTTAATTGTTTTCATGTAAATGACATTAAACTAGTGACATTGGCTTTGGAGCTATTTCTTTAACATACTACATTATAAGCTTAGTTTAATAATGAATGAAGTAATTATAAATATAAAAAAGCACAAAACACATTCCAGATAAATGCCAGTTTTGGAATGAAGAAACATACTGTATTTGCTTTAAAGGAATCGGGTTCACTGATGATTCTATTGAGACATGTTGAGTGAAAATACAGTTGGGATGCAAAATTTCTATTTCTCCTGAAAATCAAGATATTCAACTAGCATATGGATGGCGGTAAGAGGGACAATTCAGTTTGGAGAGTAAGGGGCAGGTTTACAAGACTTAATATTGCATGACCAATACATAACCGAGCCAAGGACATTTCCCATTTCCTGTTATGGAGGCGAGATATTTGAAAGGACAGAGGGACTTGTCATACTTGATGGCATACACTCTTCCATACAACAATATGAATAACTTGGTAGAAATCTGAACAGGGTATGAAGTTCTGGGAAATGAGACATTTAAGAATGGTTTTCTTAGTAGCAGCATCTGGTAGGTCATTTGAGATAATACCAACAAAAGCTTAAACTATCTTATACGTGCTAAATAAGATATACTGATCATCCAATGCTAAATTTCCATCTCTATTGGATTAGAATCTAATTACCACCCATGACCTCTCATTCTGTCATTTTACTTGTAACAGTTTGTTTTCATCTCCCTTGTATATTCCTCTTAGTGTTCTGCACATTAGAACCATGTCTGGTGAGGAAATCAACTGGTGCCGAGGTAACTCCAACCCACGACCAAGGCATTCCTAGCCGCTCACCTTATTGTACCACCCTGACTTGGTATCTGAGGTTGGGGCGTATGGTGAATGAAGTACTTTACCGGCACCCGAGTGCTTCGGGGTTGTTCGTAAAACTTAAGACTGGCTTGAGTAGGAGCCTCCAGACTTCCAGAGGATTCAGTGGAATCCCGGTTGTACAACTTTTATCAAGTCAGGGTTGTACGGTGGTAAGGTGAGAGTGCCTTGGTCATGGGTTTGAGTCACCTCAGAGCTCCAGTTGATTTTCTTATTGACATATATCACGTTTGTGTGATTTCATTGTATATCATGCCTGCTCTTATTTATCTCATGTTTTTATTTGTAAAAAGTTTTGTTCATTCAACTAATAACCCAGAACTAATGCCTTTATCAGCACCATGCACTAATTTTTTAAGTATTGTATAAAGCTTTCAATTAGTATAGAGGAATATATTAGAATTTAGTCATGGACCATGTGATCCCACAGTGCTCTCTATAGTGTGTGCATGTTCCAAAGTGGCTCTGATCATTAAAGCAGCTTCAGAACAACCAAATAAAAACACACCAAAGAGCCAAAGCTCAAACCCTGCAAGCACAACTGAGTGAGTACAGTATAGTATACCCTCACCTGACACACACACACATCTATTCTCGATTTCATATTTACCAGGAAAGAAGAGGTATTTGACATTTAGTACCTTCCTCCATTGGGCAAGAGCGACCATGTCCAATTGCAAATCTAATATGTAATGCGTTATAATCTAGAAGAGAAGGAAGGGAAATTTTAATGATTGAAAATCTATATTTCAAGAGAGGAGAGTATGGGGAACTGAGCAAGTTTAATAAATTTGATTAGAATAATTTATTGTTAAGCAAGGAAATAAATGAGATAAATTTCATTCATACGAGACCCATACAGCCCAGGTAAATAGAAAGTAAATGATATGTGTGAAAATTTTTGCAAGATATTTGATGAAAGCACAAATGTGTTTTATACCAAAACAGATATGCAAAACTAGAAAACGAGATTGGTTTAACAGAAAATATGAGAGGGCCAGAGAATGGAAGATAAAAAATGGGTTCAATACAGGAAGAGGCTTAATCCTCAAACATATCAGTAATATGAACAACCAAGAAACAACTACATAACAATGAGTAGTGAGGCAGAAAAAGCTGTGAGAAATGGATAGTATATAAATGTAAAACAGAACCAGGCCTTTTCTATAAATTTATTAAAAGCAAGCTACATATAAAGGACAAAATCCCGAGATTGAAAATCGGAAACAAATTTACAGAGAATGAAAAGGAAATATGTGAAACACTAAATGAACAGTTCCAAAGTGTTTGTGCAAAATGAGATTTTTAGATAACCAGACACAATGCCAATTTCAAAGAATGCCATAAAAAACATAGAGGTTTCTTAAGATGAAGTGGAGAAAGTTATTTGAGGAGGTAGAAGAAATTATACAGGGGGCACAGATGGATTTTCACCTTGGGTTCTGAGAGAATGCACACATGAGCTCAGCATTCCACTTCGATTGATATTTCAGACATCTTTATATACAGGAATCTTAGAAAATATATGGAGAAAGGCAACCACATTGTCAATCAACAAAAATGGTAGCAGGGAAGACTGTCTACATTATAGACCCATATCATTGACAAGCATGTAGATGAAACACTAGAAAAAATAGTTAAAATCTAATGGACAGAATACCTGGAGAGAAATGATGCAATAACAGACAGTATGGCTTTCAAACAGGAAGATCGTGTGTAACAAATGTAGTTAGTTTTATGATAGCGCCACAGATTTTACAGGAAAGAGATAGTTGAGTTGACTACATTTATCTGGGCCTACGAGGCTTTTGACAGTCATATACAAGATGTTGTTCTAGAAATTGGAACATGCTTGAGGAGTGACAGGCAGACTGCTGATATGTATGGAGATTTGTTGACAAAGATGAGGAATGTGTTACTAGTGGCATACCACAGGGTTCAGTTATTGCACCAGTAATGTTCATAGTCTATATGAACAACCTGTTCTGTAAGGAATACAGAACTATATGAACATGTTTGCTAATGATGCTAAGTTATTATGGAAGATAAGAGACTTAGATAATTGTCATGCCCTACAAGATGACAGAACCCAGACAAAATAAGTGTATGGAGCAATACTTGGTAAATGGAATTCACTGTGAATAACTGCCATGTTATGGAATGTGAAATAGAAAATAGGCAACACAACCTACAAATTATGAAGGAAGGCATTAAAGAACTGACAAAGAAAGAAATCTATGGGTGGTTCCAAATAGTAGAGTGTCACCAGACCACCACATAACGGACATTATTTGAGGAGCATATGCTATGGTTTCCAACTTCAGAAATGCTTTTAAATACTAAAGAAACTGTTCATGCCTTTTGCGAGATAAAAATTGGAATATGCAGTGGCTGTACAGTCAACCCGTCCTCTTACAAATTACGTCGCTCTTCGCTCATATGCAGACTCGGGCTAAAAATCGACGTAATTCAAAATGAAATCGACTCACGAAAGTGACGTTTTGTTCTGTTTTCTGTTTTGAGTCCTCTGGCTTAGGATGTTAGGCTAGGAGAGGAAACTTTAAATTAACGGTTTTCATGACTTTTGAAACCTTAGATCTTCCTGCCCTCCTAACCTACCAGAGGACCCTTAACTTGCTGTTTTGGTAAAACAAATTCCAAAATTTAATTGGAAAATAAATTTCCATTTTGAATTACTGTATGTCGATATTTGGTCATAATGCATACAAGTAAGTAAGTAATTATCAAAAGAAGGCACCAAACCGGGAAGGCTATGTAGCACCATCAAATACGCAAAATAATCAGAGGGCGCTAAATATCACCAAGGATGCCAATACGAGAACAAAAACGCATAAGGCGAACGATATCAAAAGTATCCGAGTCACCAAGAATTCTATCGAGGGACAGGTGACCGCGAGGGGCGGTCGGAAAGCAAGACACACGCTCGTCCTGGAAGTCAGGACATTCAAGAAGGACATGCACGACCGTAAGAGGGACAATGCAACTAGGACAATAAGGAGCAGGGCGGCGCTCCATCAAGTGACCATGGGTTAAGCGAGTATGGCCAATACGCAACCTCGCTAGAGCTGTTTCCCACCGCCGGTTACGGTGGAAGGAGGACGGCCACGAGGAAACACAACATTTAAGAGTACGTAGCTTGTTACCAGTAACAGACAACCAAGAAGCCTGCCAACGGGTAAGGACTGAGGAATGGATAACCGGGTAAAAGTCGGAATACGGAATGCCTTTACGAGAGATGGGACAAGAGCGGACAGCTTCCTTAGCGGCAGCATCCGCACGCTCATTTAAAGACACGCCAATATGGCTGGGAACCCAACAAAACTCAACCGACTTAAATTTACTGTGAACGAGAAACAGCCAATGCTGGATCTCGACAACTACCGGATGAACTGGATTAAAGCACCCGAGAGCCATGAGGGCACTACGAGAGTCAACAACAACCACAAAGGAAGACTGACAACGAGAAAGCAGGAGACGAAGAGCATAGAGAATAGCATAAAGTTCCGCTGTAAAGATGCTAGTCTCCGGAGGCAAGCGACACATATAAGTGCGATCAGGAAAAACAACAGAGTAGCCAACACCGTCCGCTGACTTAGACCCATCGGTGAAGACAGAAACAGAGCGGGAGTGAGAAGAAAAGTGCTCGAGGAAAAGGCGTTTTAGAACTGTAGGAGGGGTAAAAGCTTTAGTGATACGAGTCAAGGATGTACAAAACCGCGGAAGAGGGACCCTCCACGGGGGCAAAGAAGGAACAACACGAGGAGAAACATCAGAAATACG